CAAATCCATCCATGTGACATACATGTAATATTGCTAACGTAATTGGGTGAGTTCCTATGAAAATGTGACGTACATGTGAGCTAAAAAAATTTATGACAGGAAATGTGAAGCAAAGGCGAAATACAAAAAAAAGAAGAAAAAAAGACAGGAATTTTCCCCTTGCACTAAAATCCTGGCACTACTCTGCAAATAAACGTTTCTTCTGATTGTTAATTTGAATTCACCGACACATAAAATTACACTTGTAATCATGCAACGCACTCATCCTGATATAGACCTGTCTACTTCCCTGCTGGGTGATTGGAGAAGTCAAAATGAACAAATGATGTGGACAAAAATCCAGGAAGTTAGTAGTGCCATTATGTTTCCTGTGGTTAAAGAGAAGAAGGGACTGTCATGGACAAAACTCCATCAAATGAAACCTCACCTCTCTTTTGAAATACAGGCACAGACCGGGTCATAAAAAAAGCCCATGTGTGTAACTGGATTGAAGTAATGCTAATCAACGTGCGCCCCTGCTGGTCTTTGTCTTTGCTTCAAAGCGTTAATAACACATTTTTCTTTTTGTCTGCTGATAAGCAGGAGAGAATACAATTGACAATTTAATGCCACTTCATGTGTTTGGAAGCCTTTGTAATAAAGCAAAGATAGTCATACAGACATTTTAAACTCTCGCTTGTTTAAAATGAAAGAAAAAAGTCACTTTCTTACAACTCTGAAGATGAGAAAAGATACATAACTGACAACAAAAGAAAATGTTATTAAACATCCAAGCTAATCATAATGATACTAATAGTAATTATGAAGCAGTGACAGTTATGATCATTTATTTTATATTTACCTTTGATTGAAATGAATTGATTTATCATGAAAATTAGTTTTTATAATATTATGAGATGAAAGGAAAAAAAATATGAGTTATGAAAACCTGGAGGAAGTAAGAATTTTCCTCTGTTTCTATGTAAAACATTATGTAACCAATATGAGTTGAGCTAAAAGTTGTCCATAGTTACCCGACCATACCATAGTATGCTGCTAATATGGATGTTGAAAATACTGCTCTGGAGGTTCAGCAGCAAAACATCTCGTAACAACAACAACAAAATTCCCAATTAGTTTGTATTTAAAGCATTTTTAAAGCTCACAGAGCTTCTTTGACAAGGACGACTGTTGTTCTGGTTAAAGCCACTGAACTCTAAAAGGTAATTTTAGCTGGCAGAGGACCGCTTTCTGCCTCATGAGTTTATTTTGTGTGTGTGACTGGTATTTTAACACGTTATTTTTGAATCAGACTAATATGTTAAACACCAGAGGCACCCAGCAAATCCCAGTTTCTCCAAGGTAAACTTTGTGTCTGTGTGTGTGTTTGTAAGTGGAGTCTGGTAGGTTGAATGCAACAAACGTAATGGCTCTGGTAAAATATCAAATAATGGCTGTATGGTGATGCGGAAAAAAACCTTGAACTAACCAAACTAATACTTTTATGTTCTCCTGAACTAAAAACTTGATGAAATACTAATACAATCTTGCTATTCTTTAAAGGCACTAATGTAATCAGCTCTGGAAAAAATGTAATGCTAAAAGCTAACTATGAACTTAGAAACTTTAAGACTTAACCGTTTGCTTCTCTCTGACTCTCTACGCTCGTCTTATATTTTATTACAACCGAATTCACTATAAACAAACATCTTTAACTCCAAACAGTCTGTGCATGTACATATTGTCATGTCCCTGTTGTCAGACAACAGAACATACAGGGGAAAAAAATTAACATACTCAACATATTTACCAAGCAGTTACTCTGAACTGAAATCTCGATTCCTGCAATTTCAGTGTTATCTGACAAAATTTGCATTCACATAAGTTACAAACAAAAACTGTACTGAGATTTTGGCTGTACTTAAGTAATTAACAGAGTCTCATTCAGGTCTGTATCAATATGGGTGTAGTTTACTGAAATCAAGCTCAAACCCAGAGGTACAAAGGTATGGTTTAAAAAACGATTTGGATCGAAACTTGAAATACACATAATGGCAACACACATTACAAGTAGCATGTCTTAAAGTGGTCAAATGTTAGAAAAAGCGGACCTTTAAAGGACAGCTGACCAAAAAAACCCCAAACAAACTAATATAGTGATTTTACGTGTTGTGGATCATGAGAGGGTGATGAAGAGTAGGGGCAGTGCATCACCTCTTGATAGTGACTTATGCAATTCCCTTGGACTTGGTCTCCAGTGGTCTCCCACAGTCCCAGTTCCTGACTAACATTATTAGTGTGCTATTAGCTTTGTACGGTGCCAAACATTCCAGTCTCTATGTGTGTGGCATTGAGCTGTAGTCTTTCTTGTAGTCAAAGCTGAGGCTGGTCTATCTGGTCTTACAGTCCTAGTGTAGTGCTGTGTTATCCAGGAGCTGGTGCTTTGGTGTAATTTACAATGCCCTACTACGCCCTAGGCTGTGCTCATGTATTAACTCATGTGCCTCATGTGATTCGTGTGTGTTGCTATAATTCCAGTCCAGATGAGTACCTGCTGTTAGTAGTCCCACTACTTCAATTTGTACTGCCACGCGTTTATGGAGTGGTGTTCTTCTTTTTCATCCACCAGGTGTAGATCGTGCTAAGTCCTGGTGCCGTCCAGCTCTTCATTCCTCCAACAACAACTCATTGAGGAACGTCTGCCTTTGTGATGCTGACTGGCTCTTGCTCTAGGTGCTGGTGTTATGTGCACCTTTTTCTCCCAGATATTCTTCTGGGAGAACATCTTCAGCTCTGGTAGGTCTGTCCTAGTTGTTATCCTAGTCTTTCCTATTATTCTCTTGCAACTAAGAGTACATCCTGGTAGCATCCTTGAAAAAGGCCACTCATATTTTTCCTCCTGCGTCTCTGGTGGTATCTCTTCAGCCAGAGCTGTAACATTCGTTTGGCAGTTTCCAGAGCCTCATCTTATACTTTTCTCATGATGCCTTTCTACACTTCACTTAACCAACTAATATCCTTTGAGCTTTTCTGATTTTAAATTCCAGCCTTCTTCTCCACAAAGAGCTTTCTCTACACGCATTCTTGATCATATACCCAAGTCCTTCTAGGATTACTGAGGCAGGGGTATCTAATAGCTCTGTGATACGAGTAGTGTGGATGGTGAGCAGAGCAGTGGTCACATCTGCAATAATCTCCTCTGATAGGACTTTGTCAGTGAACTGGGGGAGTTGTGCCCTTGGTTTGGTGGCTAACTTGAGTCTGGCCACAATCAGTAGTTTCCTCTGTTACTGCAGGTATTATCAGGTTCAGTTACACTGCTCTCTTCTATCAGAGTTGGCTTATTATGTTCATACAGCTCACTATTCTTCCCATTGTACTGTAGACTCTGGATCTCCAGCTTTAATGGTAGCTAGCTGTCCTCTACTGATGTTATAACATTGAGCTACCAGGTGTTTCTTGATCAGTGTGGATGCCGGTCATCTACTCATCCATAGTCCTGCATGATATCATATTATATCTATCTATATCTCTGTCTTTCTATCTATATCTATATGTGTGTGCGTGTGTACATGCGTGTGTGTTTGTGTGTGTGTGTGCATGTGTGTATGTGTACAAAAACACTACACTATTTGGCTTCAATATAGCAAATGGATCTTTAACCAAATTAATGTCCCATATCTGGCTTAGTGATCGTCAATCAACTTTGTTTTTCATTAAAGACTATTTAAGAAATACAGCTTAAGGCACATCTCACTGTGTTTCTTATTGCATCATATTTCACACACTGCATTGCTGTCATGTGCATTGTGCACATGTGGAAAAGTGGAAATGTATCTCGTGTTTGCAGAGAATATAAGTGTGTTTTTGTTTGATGTGATCCAAAGTACAGGCTGAATTCTCTTTTTGTGTAAACAGTGTTTAGCCACGCCTGGGACCCAAAGCATGACAATGAAACAGACTTGATGAAGCCAGGCCAAAGATTTCGCTGTCAACGCAATGTTTTTTCACCATTGTTGGACACCTCTATTCAGGCATAATTGGATCCATTATAAAAGACACGAGCACTTAGGTTTCTTTCAGAGCTGCATGGGTGAGGGGAAGGGAGAGGAATCAAGTGTGATGTTTTTGTATGGAAGTGTGATTGCATTTCTGTATCCCTGCGTGTGTCTTTGTGTGGGTGGGTAAGTGGGTCGATGTGAATGAAAATTAGCCGCGTGCATGTTTACATGTTTAATTGCCTTTGATTTGCAGAAGGTTAATATTAATTTTTCTGTTTTGTATTGTGTTATGTCTATTTGCATATGTGCACACATTGTGCTGACACACATCACTTTACATCTGTGCATGAATGAGCATTACAGTTATATGGGATCACTTTTCATTAGGCTGCAGTTGCAGCTATTGACTGCTTCCACTGAAATTAATTTCATATAGAAAAAAAATGTCAATGTTCTCAACCGCGTGTACTTGTAAATTGATTCAGAGGTACTGTAGACTGTGGAGGGGTGTGTGAATTTGTGTCTGTTGAAGGAAGAGATGCAGATTTGAATGCATCTGCATGTGCCAATGCCACTGTTTTAGATTGCCACTAGCTTTATTAAAGGGTTTATTAGAGTGTTTCAAAGGGGCTTCACCGCAAAATTAGTTTTGAGAGGCAAACCTGCTGCTTCGGGACTAATTGAGCTTCATTACCTCAATAAATACAAGTCAGTAGAATGCACATCTTAAGAATGGTGATTGTGGCAAGCTTTATCAAGCAGAACATCAGTGTGAAACTGGTTAGCTATTGCATTATTTCTCAAAAGCATTCCTCTGAATAGGTTTGACAGCATCTTCTAGTCACAAATTATTCACCTGTTTTTTCAAACACATATTTTGATGGCTTTCATTATAAAAGTTACAATCATTCCCTTCTTTGCAACACTGATTTTAATCAAATTCTCACATGATACTAAACCTGCGCAACACACTGATAGACACAGACAAGGACATACATGTACGCACACGTATACACAAACCTCAGCTTTGATTTTGTTGTCTCCAAAACAGAGATGCTGTAGGTAGGCTGCAGCATTGGACTGCACCGATGGGAACTGGTGCTGTAACATCTGGATCACCTCTGGCAACTCTGGATCTCTCCACCCAAACTCTCTGCAGAATGACATACAGAGACACTTTTATTCCTTCAGCAGGTTAACAAAGTTTCTCACTGAAATGAAAATATTACCTAAAAGTAGTTCAATAAAATCAGAGACTTTTTTTCAGCCACAGATATTCAACCATGCATGTCAACGTTAATGCGGGATATAAAGAGAAAGTCAGATGGATCCAAAGGCAGAGCATGAATGAAAGAGAGATTTAAATGTCAAAATCCACTCTGCTCTGTTTTCAGTACAAGAAAACTCACTTCTAATGGGAGAAGGCTTTAGAAACTAAGCAACACAGTGGAACAAAAATGACACAGATCACCTGCTGAATGCCTAATTTGCTGAAATATCGTCATTTTCATCCAACACAAGTGCAGGAAATGAGAGAAAGTAAAGATAAGGCCACAAAGCTAAGCACGTGGCAATCATGAAAACTTTAATAAATGGATCAAAATCAACCACAAATGGTATTAGCATTTTAGCGTAATAAAAGACAAGCTGGATTTCCTTAGAATAACAGTAAATCTTTGAAACCTTTTGAGTTATTTCAGATGGATGATTTGGAGCATTGTCATAGCAACCATGTGTGACAATTTTTTGAGAGGTAACCAGCAAATGTGAAGATGCTAGGGATTATCATTTTGAAGGTCAAGCTGAAGGGCAACAGCTTATTTGTACATTTGTATGGATGCGACAAAATACGAGTTAATACAAATAAAGAGGATTTCGGCAGAAGCATGAAGCGATGCATGCAGAGAAATTTTTAGAAAGCTTATAAAAGGAATCAAAAAGTGTTGCTAACTGCACAGGACAGCATTTCTGCTGCCTGCTTGCTGTCTGCAGTTTCAGTTATTTCCTATACTTTCCACCACTGGAAGTTTATACTCTCATGAACACACTAGACAAAGTGAAATAAATGTTTTGTCCCTCGGTAATACACAGGAAATGGTCTCCTTTATTGTATTGTATTGATAATTGTTTTGCTATGGCCCCCCCAAATGAGGAAATTATGAGTGTGCGTGAAAGTGTGGGCGACTGGATATGTCTACACTCGTGCACGAGCATGTGCCGCCTCAATCCACCGTAATGTTTTCTCCAATAATCACTTTGTAAACTGTTTCTCTGTTGCTTCTTTCTCTCTGTGCTTTCAGAAAACTGCCAACTCTCAATGCGATCTGACGAAAACCTATGTTGAAATTTTGCGGCTCCCATCGATCATGATGTTTGAGGATTGATTTTGTTGTTTCTGGCTTCATGCTTACTGTTCTGTGGCAAACTGTGTGTCACCGTAATCCCCATCAAGCTATCGTGCAAACTGCTGATTTATTGTGCCTCCTAGCTCAGCCGACCCAAACATGAAAATGTGGTAAATATGGGACAATTGACCTGCCTGGGGAGTTAAACCTGATAGGGTAGAAGATTGTGTGTGCATCCATAGTTTTTGCTGCAGAAAATGAAGCCTCGACACAGCGCTCATCTCTGTCGGATCAAGTGAATGCACTCTATGAAACATCTGTGGAAAGCAGAGCATTCACAGGGAGTAAACATGGCTCTCAAAGATAAAGCAAGCTCCAGCATGGACGGCTGTTTATCTGCCGAATGATAAGTGTTCATTCAGCTGGAAAGCAGGACTGAAGGAGGGAGGTAGAGGACAGATAGAGAGAAGGAGGAAGAGGGAGGGATTCCCAAGGCATTTAGGGGATTTAGGAGGAGAGACCCCCAAACAACGTTCCTTAAATCACACAGTGAGATACCATCAGGGCAGTTTGTTTATGTGTGTAAGGGTGTGTGGCAAGATTAAGATAGCATCATGATGTGTGTTTATGAGGCCCTTGTTGCTTCCATGTCTGTTTGTGTGCATGAGTGTAATGGCAGGTGCATATATATTCTTTTGTGTCTATACTTCTGTGTACTGACGCCATATATATGTATCTGACTATATGCTATGTCACTGTATGTGTATGAGAGTGTGTGTCATCCATCCCCCTACAGCCTCCCAGTTCTGTCAGTGTAGTTAATAGAAAGCAGAGTGATCTGCTGATAAGATAAGCATCATGGCTCGACCATTAATTAAAAACCCCTGGTAGGGAGAGACAGTGAGAGGAACAGAGCAGAAGGGAGAAGGATAGAGAAGCGAAACCGCGAGGGAGGATAAGGAGTGAAAGTTAGGGGGGGAAACACTGAGCATTTGGGGGCAACTTTGAGTACAACAAGCGAGAGGAAGCTGACAGGAAAGGAAAAATAGGAAAAAAGAAAAAAGATGGAGAAAGAGGAAAACAACAGATGAGATGCCAGTCATGTCAACACAGGTGCTAATGAGAGCCATAGCCCTGGTAGATGCACCACAAGGCAATGTGCCAATGATGTGAAACAGCAGGATGGAAACAGCAGCCTGGAAAAGTAAAAACGGATCAAAGACGCGGTACCAACATAACTGCAAAAGCCACATTAAATACCCACACAGCTTTTAAGGAATCTGCACCACGATATGTTGCCACTTATGTGCCATATTCTTTATGTTACATTTTTATTATTTTTTTGCTTTGTGTGGTAATAAATGCCACACAGAACAATTTGTGGACTTTGCTCTTTTATACCCAGGCTGTGTGTTTTTGATATGACACACCAGTGGGTAGGGGAATAAATTAGGTGTCACTGCTGCAGCACAGAGTTTCATGTTCCTGGTTAGAGAGGTTACTTTGCCATTTCTTGAGGCATGCGGGGGTGTGTTGCAGTGAAATATTTTCAATGGAATCACTAGGTATGGCAGGAGAGCAGTATGACATGACTGTGAAAAAGGCAGGTGGCAAGGGAAGGAAGGGCGGAGGCAGAGACAGAGTGATATAACTGGGACAAAGGAAAAGACTGCTGTGTGATGGTAGGGCTTTGATGCACACACACATACACGAACATGCACACACACACACACGCACATACATTTGAGGGAGGCAAAGTGTGATAGAAGAGTACAACACATGAAAATACAAGGACTATCAAAGGATTTCTTTCTTTTTTTTAAACCTCTCTTCATCTCTCTCTCTTTTCATGTCTAGGTCTCATGAGACAGTTGAACTTCAGTCTGAAATCCCATCATGGCCATTGATAGACAGTATTCACACACACACACACACACACACACACACACACACACACACACACACACACACACACACACACACACACTATAACACAATATGCTTGACAATGTTGAATTTCACACTGATTGGCTGATGCTATATGAGGGGAAATAAATGAGTTGGAGAAGTTAAGTAATGCAAAGAGATCCACAAATTGACGGTTGCAATATTGAAACACATTCAGAGCCTGACACCTGTTTTCAAAAGTGTTGCAAATTCAACCAGGACTAAAATGTTTATGGTTTAAGATCAACAAGCTGTCACATCATGTCACTTTCATTTATTACCACTTCTATCCCATTTGAGGGCGTTTACAGCACACTGTCGTGGTGTTGTAGTTAATCTTATTCATCTGTCTGCACAACCTAATATGATGCATGATGTTTTACACAATTTTGAAATGATTTGGGTCTCCTAGTCCAGATCACATCCATCAGCGGTGCCCACAGTGCATCTAGAGTGACAGCTCCACACAGGAAGTCTGTCCCTCTGGCCTTAATCTGATTGGACAAGCCCTGTCATGTCTGTTAACTGATTCGAGGGTCAGGAATGGACAAACTGGCAGTGTGCATACTAAAGCAGATGCTAATTAGGACCTGAACATCAATCTTCATCACTGTGTTAAGACAGAGGGAGGGCAGAGGGAAGGGGTAGTGTAGGAGAGAGAAGAGAGAAAAAGCAGTTACTATGAAGGACCTGAATAAGGTTGGCTATTGGTTTGGGGAGCAAATGATATTCTCTTCAACACTGAAGATCAAATTATTTAGCATTTTAGTAGACCAGACTATCTTCTTCCTGTCTTTTTCATTTTAATATTTTCCTGTTGACTGCCAATGGCTGTCAAAAGCCTAAAAGAGTGGTAAAAAATGTAGATACTTAAGTGTGAGTAAGTATTATTTTCCCCAGAACTGAACTAAGAGAGGTGTTATTTTATGCATTTTGCATCAATCTGTGTGGGTAAAAAAAGTGCTCCTCAGCACAGAGTGTACTACCCAAGGTAAATAAAAAAGAAAAAGAAAAAAAGACTTCAGCAGTTCGATAGACAAACAGATGCCCGAATAAGCTGCATGTGAGAGATGCACAAACAGTGGCTCTTAGTTCAATGGCAGCTCCTTTAATTAAGTGCAACTTAATTAAGATGCTATCCAGAGAAAATAGCCAGCACTGCTGATGTGAACGCTGCAAAGTTACATTTATGTTTCTCTTTTGGCCACGGAGGAAGATTCACCTCATGTGCAAAAGGTGGTACTGATAAACAGGGACAATAATTTATGGTGTATGTATTGTAAACATATTTATATCAACATAATGTTTACCTCAGTAGGTTAAATCATCATGGTCAAGTTATATAATATTACAAGATACTTGCATCAGCTTATTTAGATCTAGTTAAGATGACTGAACTAAAATGTGTCAGCCAAACAAAAAATCAAGTTGTCCAGATTACATTTACTGACCAGGTTTTGTTTTACTACAGTGTGGACTTCAGACGCTCTCCCAGGGTGCTCAGACGGCACGCAGTCAGGTTCATGCCCTACTTCATGTTCTAAGTCAGTTTTCTGTTTGTTTGTTTAACATTAACGAGTTAATTGAATGTGAACAAACCTCAAGTGTCACTTTTTGTTCTGACATTTTTTGTTCCTTATTCCCAGCAGCATGCAGCATGATCGGTGATTGCCACGCACCTGTGCTGACTCTTGGGCTGAGCATATGGCCCGATTCGTAATGAGTGTGACTTTACGTAGAGTCACCCTGGAAACGTCCCTATATCGAGAGGTAAGCTAGAAATACGTGGGAAAGTTTCGGGATGCCCTTGTCCTCGTCCAACAGAAACAGGAACTTTCAAACAGCATACGTTGTGCTTTAT